AAAGAATTGAAAGGTTCAATATCACTAAGGCCCTATTGGAAATGAAACATGAAGATGGTAAATCCGTGTGTACCCACATTCTAGGAATGAAATCACACATCGATAGGTTGATTATGTTGGGTGTATCATTCCCGAATGAGTTGGCTATAAATTGGGTTTGCAGTCACTTCCTGAATCATATAATGAGTTCAAAAGAAAGTATTATATGATGGATCATGACGACAACCTCATTGACCTAACCGACATGCTCATTGCTGCTGAATCAGAAATGATTTGGCGAAGCAATGGAGCGTATTTGTTGGGAGAGTCAACCGACCATGCTTCCGAGGACGTTCTAAGAGAAGCGACCTGCACTTGCTGCCAAGAGAAAGGGCATTGGATAGAAGTCTGCCCCAAGAGCCTGAAAATTCCAAAGATGGGAGAGTCAAAGAGTATGGCTGTGCTTCAGGTAAAATCCATTATCTAACTTAATTAAGTTCCTATTCGTTGATTCTTAATACATGATGTGATAAGATTGCATTTGAATGTTTTTGTAGGATCGGTGAAAAGAAAGGAAGCTTGATAAGAGAGCAAGATGAATCTAATCACAAGAGATGGATCTCGATCGCATGGACTTGAAGATTGGATTTTGAGCTTAGATAGTTATGATAGAGTTGTTAGAAATTTTCCTTTTACGTAGTTTTCAATAGATTTTCATTGTAAGGACAAATGTTTTTGTTTGACTTATTTGTTTACTTCCTTGCAATGAAATCGTTATGAAAATTGATGTTTGCATAATTCTACAACGAATGGATATGATTCTTAGTTATGCTATTTATGGAAATGTCGAGAATTTACCAAATAGGGAGAGTTTCTCATCGCCCAAAGTTTCAATTAGACAGAAATTTGGAATCACGCAACTTGGTTGCATGATGAATGAGAAATTTCATATTTCATAATTAAACTAATTCGTTGACAAAGTTTCAAGTGAAGGACTAGGAGATCGAGTACACAAAGTTGTGTGTTGATCAAGTTCACCATAAGAGTAACAAAGATATTCATCATGATTTACTAAAAGTTTAGTAAATATGATTATACTTGCAAGATTAAGTGTAATTCTTAGTTGATTGAAAAAGTTTAAATCAATAGCCGAACGAATAAGAAGAATCAAGAAGGTAGAGAGATAAAAGTTTTTCCATTCTAAGAAGAAGGGAGAGTACCTTTTATGCTTTATGATAGGAACCATATCTCAATTGATCCTCTAAGTGAGTCTTGGTACAATTGTATGTCTAAGAAGAGGAATCAAGGATTGTAGAAATGGTTAAATCAAGAAGTCTATCATACTTCGTTCCAATAAGAAGTCTTAAAGTTAAGATTGTGACAATGAGTGAAAAGTGTTAAAGGTTTATAACATTAATCAAATGTGGAAAGTTGTGATGTCTTGAATAAGACAAAGACCGACTAGGACCAATTTATGAAGTGTTTTGATAAAAGCTACACTAACTCTTGAATATTTGTTTGTCAAGAAATGGTTATATGACAAGAGAATCTTATATGTCAAGGAGTCAGTGGGAGTCTTAATGGTCTTGAAAGGTTTCAAGAACAAATCAAATAAACCTTATCGATCATCACTAGCACACGAGTTGAGGTTTACAACCTATCGTGTTGACATTATTTTATTTCTGTGCTATTCCAATTAAGTTAATTATGCATGTGAGTTCTTTAAGTTCTCATTTTGAACGCATAAAAGGCAAGGCACCTTGATCAATGAAAGGTACATTGATAGGCCAAAGGTGAGATGCTTAACTACTTGGAAGACGTGGTGGGCAGCTGTGCTACCATAAGGCAAGAAATCAAGATTAAGAAAGTTCGGTCCATATGAGTTTGAATTTGTCAATTTCACATGGATAGGAACATATACACCATTAAAATCTAAGTGTCATAAGATTTCCTCCTTCATGAAAATGATTGTGAGGAAATGCTTTCACTAAGAAAGATTTTAAGAAGATAGTGATTGTAAAGTTGCATTCTCGAATTCAATTATGGTTACGGTATCCCTTTCCATGATTTGAATTGTGAGGTTTGGCAATTAGTCTTAATAGTTTAAACACACATATGAACTATCTAAAGCAAAGGTGTATAAGCTTAAGAGGCCTTGATAAAAGATTATCAAAGCATTAAGTATTAGAAACATGGACTTAAGAAATTCAATAGGTATTGTTTTCTGAAAGTTAAGATGTTTGTGAATACATGTCGAAGCTAGTGGGAGCATAAGTGTTATGTTTTATAATAATCATCATGATAGTGGGAGCATAAATATTATGATTGTATGATTATTAAGGCACGTATTGCAAGTTGACAATATTAATTATAGAAAAACAAGAGTTATACCTTGCAAAGTTGTTTTGCTATAATTAAGGGAGAGAATATTATGCTTCGTTTCAAATCTAAAGGATTAGGTTGAGAAATGTTGATAAAATTAGTCAAAGGTACATAGTGTGTTCTTAAAATTTCGATTATGATTACGACATTCCTTTTCACAATTCGAATTTTGAGAACATAGCAAATAAAACATTATGCATCGTGTCCCATACACTTCGGGTAAAGGATCGATTGCAAGTGCTTTAATATTTGACCATTCTAAAATTTTCCAAATGTCTAGCGCATTTAGAGGAAAAAGGGACTAGAATTGGTTTTGACTAAAATAATTAAACAACTATCAAAGAACAATCCAAAGTTCAATGAGGATTGGTTGCTTGTGAGTAGTTGGAAGCATGGTATTGAATGGACCATATCGACATTATTGTGAATAGATAAGATTCTATTAAGAATAAGTTGTCATATGGAAAATATGGAAGCGTGTCCATATTGGGAATTGAATATTGAAAATCTATGTCTAGATTGTGCAAAAGGATGTTCAAAGGAATGTACTTTGAGTGAGAGACATCATATCTAAGGAATTGTCTTGTAACAATCTCCGTTAGAGGACTTTTTAATATCATTGGCAATAGTCTTTGTGACTTTGGTGCAGTGACATTACGAAAGAATCATTGCATAAAATGTTAGAATCTAGCATATTCTATAAGTGGCAAGAATTTAATATTCTTAAACTTATGAAAAATGGATTTGGAGTTGTGAAATGAGAATGATTGGAAATGTGTCCAATGTGATCTATTTCACAAAGTAAGAACCATAGGTAAACATTGTGTGCACGCTAGGAGTATGGGACAAGTGTAATAATTCAAGTAAGAAGTTGATTACCCGAAACGACAAATAATGAGTAATCGATATGGTGATAAATAAAAGGTGTTTTATTTATGCTCAAGGGGTTGAGGCCATATGAGATTAGTATTATTCTTGTGTTTCACTTTGCATGTTTTGACTTCCAGAATAATTGAGTTTATTAAGAATAATCGAATTATTCGAACGGGCCATAGTCGTTCATATGTTGGAAGTAGGTATGAATGAAGACTGCGTGAATTGGTGTGTGGATTGTCTAAAAGAGTATTAGACATAAGCAAATGTTTGTTGCAACGTTCATGAGTGCTTATGAATATGAATTTGAGCATTGGATTAAACCCACGCTCACTTGGATCACTCCATGAATTATATCACGAGTGATTGGTGAGACGATAACATCTTATATTCTTGAAACTGAGATGTGTGAGTTGTATCTTGCTAATCGGTTGCACATTGATAATATGTAAATGCACTAGTAACTTGGTGTTATAAAACATATTGTTGTGTGTGATTTGGTTAGTGAGTGCAAGCAAGCATTGTATCAAAGTTTATCCGTTCCTTTTATCCAAAGAAGGATAAAAGCGATATCTTTTGGGCCCCTCGATGGTTTAGTGATGACAAACGTAAATGCTCGGCCGGGCTAGGGCTAATTTGATTTGTTCAATTAGTTAGTCGTCATAAATCGGAAATCGAGACATAGTACAAAGAGAATGGTTTGAAATCATATCTCATACGATATCTAGAATGGAGGAATATATGATCCCTTATCTAAGGACACGCATATCTGATAGGATCAGAGTTGACATCGGCTTTGGAAAGCTACGATTGCATATCAGGATCTGAAGTCATACGCAGAATAGTTATTAGACTTATCCAAGTGGGAGACTGTTGGATTAATGTCTAAGTCCATAACTATTTTGGTATGTACTTGACCCGATGGTGCATGGTCCTTTTGGGTTGCCTTCACCAAAGCAACTTGATTGGAGAAATAAATAAAGAGAGAGAGGTTATTATGATTTATTAATATGTTATAAGAATAATATATTAAAGGAGAAATCATATTTGTTTAATTAATATTGGTCAATAATTAATTAGGAATTAATTTTGTGATCAAGTGTAATTAATTAAACTAGAGGGGCTGATTTGTAATTATGTGATAGTTACAAAATAAGGTAAGGATTATCTTATTATTAGGTTGGATGAATTTAAGGTGATAAGGCCTTAGAATTCGACTATGATAAGGATTCAAGGATTATCTTATGGGTTGCTTTGTGGATAAGCAACTAGATAAGGATAATGACTGAAACCCTATCTCTACACCTATATAAAGACCCCAAGGCTCATGAATTCGTGTATCCCTTCCCAAGGAGTCCTAAGGACGAATTCTAACCTCTCTCCTCTCTCTTTATACCTTCTCCATTTGCTCTTGGTGTTTGTAAGCCATTAGAGGAGTGACACTTGTGACTCTAAGCATTCCAAAGTCAATTCAAGGAGGAATTAGGATTGTTATTACCCTATAACAATCAAGGTATGTTCTTAAACCCATTCATATGTTAATATCGATTTCATATACTAGAATTAGGGTTTGAAGTCTTGGATTCAAAGCATGTACAATAGAGAAACCTAGATCCAAGCATTAGGGTTTGTATGAGCACATAGGATGTCTTATGACCAAAACCCATTAGAAAGATTATGTAAACAAAAATATATTTTAGGTTAGAAAACTTTGTAACATGTTATATCAACATCTTCTACCTCCACCTACCACCACATAAGCAACAATGGCGGCCGTAGCGTCTCTTGCTAACCCCACCACGTTTGCCTCTTCCTTACCCCGTGGTCACCACCACCAAGCGTCTATTTCTGTCTCCAACTTCAGTTTCTCGAATTCCAGAAAACAACGCTCATTCAAATTCCTAATTTCCCAATCTATCCTGGCTTCTACCTCACCGGTAACATGCCATACATCCATCGTCTCTGCGGCAACATCTGATTCATCTTCATCAGGTTCCGCCACCTCATTTCACGGTCTGTGCTATGTCGTCGGAGACAACATCGACAACGACCAAATCATCCCCGCTGAGTACCTAACCCTTGTCCTATCAAAACCTGATGAATACAAGAAGCTAGGATCCTACGCTCTCATCGTACTCCCGACGTCGTACGAGACTCGATTCGTTGAGCCAGGGGAGTACCAGTCGAAATATTTGATCAACAGGGAAAGAGTATAAATTGAAGCCGATTGGTGATGCTGGACCTGTGATCGAAGCTGGTAGAATCTTTGCATATGCTCGAAAAGCTACGATGATTCATTCTTAGAAACTTGAGGTATTGATCACATTCATCAGTAACTGAATCTCAATGTCTTAAACTGCAAATTGGTATGTGCTAACCCTCAATTTAGGCATGAATTTTGTTGTTTGGTGGTTTATAAACTAGAAAAAACAATAGCTTGATCAAATTAGTTAGGTATTTGAATGTTCAATGTCAAGTGGTTATTATGAAACTTAGAATAAAAAATCACACAACAAGATAATCAGTTCCTTTAAGCTATTGTTAGGCAATGTATTTTTATCTAGGATTTTCTGGAACTACTTAGATATGCAACTCGCATCACTCTTGATCATAATTATAATGCAGAATCAGAACATAATCATAATGGGTTTATCTGCTCATCAAAACATTAAAAAAGTTAATTAAACTGAATAAACATTGATCCTAAAATGTTAGTATTTGTATAACTTTCTCAATTGATGAATTGTCTTCATTTTATTTGATGTTTGTTAAATATCTTCCTTAGGTGAATTGTCTTCATGTTATTTTAAAATTTCTGTAGTGATTAAATCATTAAAAACTATTTTGTTATCTGATATAATATTCTACTTTTGCATGCATGTTGGTTGTGGAAAAATTGTTAGGCAATGTACATGGATAATGTTTGTGGAATACAATTCTAGGTTGTTTGTGCCTTTTTATTTTTCATCAACACAAATTAATTTACTCTTTGAACCTTGTGGTATGCATTCTAAATCAAATATGTTGCTGGAAATTATGTATTCTACTATAATAGAATCGATATATTCTGCCAGAATGTGTTATATGTATTATGTGATATTTTATTTATTCTACCAGAATATATTAAGTGATAGTTAATTGCAAGCAACATGTTTTTAACAATTATTAGTTTTTTGTTGTATTTGTGATAGGAATGGTTGGAAGAAGGCGTTGAAGACCTTCATATTCTTTTAGAATATGTATAATTATCTTAAAATGTATAAGGATTTTAATCTGTAAGAATATGTATGAATTTGTATTTAAGTTCGGATGTATAAGAATATATTAGGATGTTTTGTTATTTTTCAACAGGGAAAACTGCGAAAAAGTCTCAATATTTTAGGCCAGTTTACGATTTAGTCCCAAATTAAATTTTGTTTACAAAATGGGACAGATTACCGGCTAAAACTTCGGATTAACCGTTCGTGGCCGGTTTCACAGATTTAACCGTTATCTCGTCTTTTTTCGTTAATTAATCAATATTTTGGGCTTTTTCATTAATTAATTAACATTTTAGGGCTTTTTCATTATTTATTACCAATAAACCAAAATATTTGGAGTTTTCTGAAGATTACCTTTAAACTAATATATATTATATGATCTAATTTAATATGTACTATTCCATGTTTTCTTTCTTATGCTCTTCTAGGCTCATCGTGTGTTTTTATTGGTGTCGTCAAACCCAACAACAAAAATCTCACTCACAAGCCTCGTTAACTCCATCAATTTTCCAAAATTATCTATTCACAACTCTATAATCATCTTTCAATCTCCAAATAAAGAACGGAGAAAATCCTTGTTGATTACGTTGATGTCCCTATTACCTAACCACGACTTAAACCGTGGTTCCAACACTTAGATGCTCCTATTACATAACCATGACTTGAATCCTATTTCGAACCCATACACTATTCGCATTGTCCATAGTGTTGTTCACAGCAAAATACGAATCCCACATGGTTTAACCACTGATACCTTGGCTCAAGTCTTACATGACCCTTGTTTCCTTACAATAGGGCTTGAAAACCATGAAAAATGAACCATTAAGCTTAAAAAACTCAACATAGGCGAAAAAAAATCAACTCAATATTATGTACTGAAAACCATGAATATTGTTAACTCTAATTGTAAAAAAAATGTCAACAAGCTATCCATCATAAACTATTAAAATATTAATTTGGTATACTTACGAGCTACGGTTCCAACACTCGGATGTTCCTATTACCTAACCATGACTCGACAGGTTTGACCAGGAGAATTTATCTTAGGAAATGTTTAAAACCCGTTTGCTAGGGAAGTATTGTCATCTGGACATAAGGAGGAGATTACAAGTCAAAATAGCACCAAAAGCCTTACAAAACTCCAGAAAGTCTTAGTGTTGGAACCGTAGCTCGTAGGTATACCAAATTAATATTTTAATAGTTTATGATGGATAGCTTGTTGACATTTTTTTTTATAATTAGAGTTAACATTCTTCATGGTTTTCAGTACATAATAACGAGTTGATTTTTTTACCTATGTTGAGTTTTTTAAGCTTAATGGTTCATTCTTCATGGTTTTCAAGCCCTATTGTAAGGAAACAAGGGTCATGTAAGACTTGAGCCAAGGTATCAGTGGTTAAACCATGTGGGATTCGTATTTTGTTGTGAACAACACTATGGACAATGCGAATAGTGTATGGGTTCGAAATAGGATTCAAGTCATGGTTAGGTAATAGGAGCATCTAAGTGTTGGAACTACGGTTTAAGTCATGGTTAGGTAATAGGGACATCCACGTAATCAACAAGGATTTTCTCCGTTCTTTATTTGGAGATTGAAAGATGATTATAGAGTTGTGAATGGATAATTTTGGAAAATTGATGGAGTTAACGAGGCTTGTGAGTGAGATTTTTGTTGTTGGATTTGACGACACCAATAAAAACACACGGTGAACCTAGAAGAGCATAAGAAAGAAGACATGGAATAATACATATTAAATTAGATCATATAATGTATATTAGTTTAAATGTAATCTTCAGAAAAGTCCAAATGTTTTGGTTTATTCGTAATAAATAATGAAAAAGCCCTAAAATTTTGATTAATTAATGAAAAATCCCAAAAATTTAGATTAATTAACGAAAAAAGACGAGATAACGGTTAAATCTGTGAAACCGGACACGAAGAGTTAATCCAAAGTTTTAGCCGGTAATTTGTCCTTTTTTGTAAACAAAATTTAATTTGGGACTAAATCGTAAACTGACCTAAAATATTGGAACTTTTTCACAGATTTCCCTTTTTTAATATCTGATTCAAGAATTTTGTTGTTCTTCAATGATATTCTATGAGAATAAAATTCTGAAAAAGCATCACTCTAACAAAATAATATTCTATTAGAATAAAATTCTGAAAGAGCATCATTCTAACAAAAAATATTCTGACAGAATATAATCGGTAAAAATCGAAATTGAATTAATTAAAAAATTTGGATTTTTTAAAATTATGAGAATTAATCATCCCTAAAACTTCGAAAATTTTCTTTTATAAATGTAGTTAATTGTCCAAAATACCCTTTTGCTAAAAATTATGTGATTATATGGTACATATTACCCCATTGTAATATCATACACTCTCAAATCATGTCCATTGATTAATTTCATCCGTTCGTCCAGATCTGTGCATTCTGGCACATAATACTTAGTAAAAACAAAATAACCTAAGCCTATATCTTTACTATCTTATAAAAGAAATCTCACTATTTCTAAAAATAAATTGAATATAATAATATTATTTTTTAAGACGTTCAAATCATTAAGCTAATAGTATAAGTAGTCATCAATAAAATAATATTAAATTTTAACATGTGTTTTGAATCCTTATATTTATCAACAAATTCTATCTCCTTCCCTGAATTTCGGATAATTCAAAATTTGAAACATCAGAAAATACATGTTGATTCAAATATCCCTCCTGCAGATGACTCTTTCTTAACATGTTTTTCTTTTAATCCTTACTTGTAATTGATTTCATCATTTTTAACTTTTTGTATTTTTATCTTATAAATATATTGGGTAAAGGATTTATTATATCATGTTTGTTCCTAAAAAGGTTTTTACTATGTTTCTTTAATGTGTTGGCTTTGCAGGTTCAAAGAACTCAACCAAGAAGGCCAGTTAGAGCATTGTAGTATCATTAGTTTGTATGTTTTGGCATCTTACTTTTGCAATAAAGAACGGTTAAACACAAGATTTGACATGATTAAGGTAGTTTGTATATTTTTCATCTTGTTTAGTCTAAAAATTAAACCTTTTTCATCATTGGTCCTTATAATATCAAGTTTCATCACATGGACTTCCTGATTACGGTGATTATTGTCCTTATTATAAGGTTCTATATAGATTTTGTTCAATATTTTAAGGTTTCGAGAACCTAAATCAATATGAATCCTTGAATTACATACCATCGTTGAAAATGTTTTAATTTGTGACCAAACTTGGTTTAAAATCACAATGAACAAGTTGACACCTGAGTATTTTGGCCTTCTCAAAGGCCTATTTATCGACTTTTGAATCACAACACTTGATACTCTAAAGGTTTATTTTTATAAACTATTATTTATATATTTTAGCATTTTACTTAGTAGGACATTAAATTAATAAAAGAATTAAGGAAAACGAAAAAAAAGAGGACGATAAACAGTACAAGTGGTTTGGGTATGTATAAATGGAAGTAATAAATATTTAGGGGGTGTTTGGCAGAAAAGCTTATTGCTTATTGGTTTATTAGCTTATAAGTTAATAAGTAACTGTAGGGTAACTTATGAAAAAAATGACGTATTAGAGGTTCCCCACCGGAATAAGTTATTTTAATCCAAACACTTTTTTAACTTATAGTGATGTGGAACCTAATAAGTTGTTTTAAAAAAGCTTAGCCAAACACCCCCTTAATATGGTATGGTAATGCTCTTGAAAAATAGATGTCATTTAATATTCATTTCTCGAAGTGAATGCAAAATGGTTTTAACTCTAAAGAGATCAAATTATTCGCTGCCTGCCGCTTTGCGCGGGTAGACAGCTAGTGTATATATATATATATATATATATATATATATATGTGTGTGTGTGTGTGTGTGTGTGTTTAGGTTATTTTGTTTTTACTAACTATTGTGTGACAGAATGCACATATTTGGACCAACGGATGG